GGCGAAAAAAAATCCGTGTCTGAGCTGAGGCTCGAACTCCGACTTTCCACTTCGGAGACGAGTGCACTAACCGCTCCTCCTCCGCACCACCTGAGGTAAAGGACACCAGAACGATCACAGGAAATGGACATGACTTTGATGGGACAAACGTCTCTGGGACTGACCTGCGTTGTATTTCCATTGCAGCACACACTGTGTGCACGTGAGGCCTCGTGGCAGCTGCACGTCCACGTGATGCACCTTCGAGTCCCAGCTGCGGACCTGCCCAACGATGTACAACAAGCAACATGATAATATGTACGAGGGGCATACCAAAAGATTTTTTTACTTGGCCTTGAAGGAGTATAGGTAGAAAGCTGACATTTGGGGTGAAAGCCAACAATCATCTTTCTAGAATGCATGTAACGTTTGTGGAATTTCCAACAACTGGTTTTAACACTATCGCAATGTAAGTGAATGTTGTTCTCCTATTTCAACATAAAAATGGAGAAAATTGAGCACAGGCCAGTAATGAAGTTGTGTGCTTGCAAGGTAAGCAACTATATACATGTACATGAAACTAATTATTTTAAAGACTTGTAACGATGGATGAGACATGAGTCCACCACTACGATCCTGTGTCAAAATCTGCATCAATGCAGTGGAAATTACCCTCGTCTCCAACACCAAAGAAGGCAAAGGTGCAGCCATCAAGTAAAAAAGTGAAGCTATCAGTTTTTAGGGGACCAAGAAGGAGTGATTATGACAGTATGACAGACTATCCGGAAATTGGATATACGATCATCGGAGATCATTATTCTAACCATCTAAAAAAAAATGTCCGAGAAGCTATAGAAGAAAAACCAAGAGGAAAGATCCGAAAAGGCATTTTGCTGCTTTCCGAAAACGCGCAAGCACACACTTCAAGAAAAGCTGCAGAAACTGCTGGAGAAAGTGGCTAGGAAATTTTGCCACATTGACCCTATTCTCCAGATTTAGCCCTGCCCTACTTAAAAAAAATAAATTCCCCACACTAAAAAAGAATTGAAAAGGAAGGTATTTTGAAAGGGATGATGAGGCCAAAGAAGCGGTAGATGGCTGGTTTTCTGACAAAGGAGGGGTCTTCAATTTTCAAAATCTTTTCAAGGTCATACATCAATGACAAAAATGTATAACTGTGGAAGGTGAATACATAGAGAAATATTAAGGTTATTACCTAATTTTAGCTTTCTACCTTTATTCCATTTTGGTCAGGTAAAAAACTTTTGATATGTCCCTCGTACGTATAGCGCATAGGTGTCGGTTTACAAAGATAATTTCGAAGTCTCTCTCTCTCTCTCTCTCTATCTCTATCTCTATCTCTCTCTCTCTCTCTTTCTATCTCTCTCTCTCTATCTCATTCTCTCTCTTTTTCACTCTCTAGTTCTCTCTCTCTCTTTCTTTCTCTTTTTCACTCTCTAGTTCTCTCTCTCTCTCTTTCTCTCTCTTTTTCACTCTCTAGTTCTCTCTCTCTCTCTTTCTCTTTCTTTTTCACTCTCTAGTTATCTCTCTTACCCTCTCCTGCCCCCCCTCTCTCTCTCTCAATCTCTCTCTCAATCTCTCTCTCGCTCGATCGCTCTCTTTACTTTTGTTTCCACCTCACTGTGACTGTGAGCCGTTTTCCTGCTTTTATTCATACTGTCATTTTACAAATATGTTAAAGAGTGAGTTGAACATATACGTAAAGACTCAAGCTTTTAAATTAATGTGCACATACATGCTACAAAAAAGAAGACGGTAGTTTTCCGCCCAAAGACAGAAGAAAAAAAAAAGATTGTATTTATGTAGCGCTCTATCCCTCACTAGTATAAGCTGTGAGCGTTTTGCACCAGTCACATGATTTTCACACAAGAGAAAATATTTCACAGAAACAAGAAAAACCAATTCAACCACATAAAGAAAAACGTTCACAACCATACATTAATCATATTCACGAAAGGACAGCTGTAACCACACAAAAAAAAAAACACACACAAAAAAACAACAAAAAACAAAACAAAACAAAATAAAGCAAAAAAACAACCCACAAAACAAAACAAAACGAACAAACACAAACAAAACATACCAGCACTTATTAACACACTATAACTTAAAATTAAATGAATGAGTCTTGAACAATCGCTTAAACTTTAAACGTATCAACCTTTGTTATTTCTCTGAGATCATGTTCTGTTTTTTTTTGGGGGGTCTACCTTTTGGCGTGTGTTTCTTCGACTGTTAGGCCAATCATGTTTTGGGCCTCCTACTTTTCAATGACATAGATCTAGCTATCCTTCCCTCTACCGATCTTCCCCCTTCCCGCCGACACTCACACTTCAAGTGCCCGGATTTGAGTGTAAAGATGTAACTGTGTGGTGCCGTGTGCGTGCGTACGTGTGTGAGTGTGTGCGTGTGTGTATGTGTGTGTGCGTGTGTGAGTGTGTGTGCGTGTGTATGTATGCGTGTATGTATACGTATGTGTGCGTGTATGCGTGTGTGCGTGAGTATGCTCGCGCGCACCCGTGTGTGCGT